TAGGGTTTACTAGATCACTGCTTAAAGACAGTTTCTCTGCAAGTTCCGTGGAAGCAAACACTGATAATAATTCTCCCAGTCCTCAGCAGAGATTGGTATGTCAAAAGCAAATCTCCGTCTCTTCAAGTCACCTGCTACAGAGTGCCAAAATATTACTGAGTTATGACTTCTGGCAGCCAACTCGAGTTCTGACTAGATTGAAATGGCAAAACTTTTTTTCTTTAATGTTATAATTTTTTTATATTCCCTTCTTGTGTGCAACATCTCTGCTTGTATATGAGCAGCAGGATTCCTCTGGGCGAGCCTCATGGCTGCCTTCAATTTCTTTTTCAGTCACTGGCATTCAGGATTAAACCAACGGGGTCTACCCACTCAGGCTCTTTTTGTAGCAGGTTTAGTTGTTAGGTTTTCTTCAGAATATTACAGAGATTAGAGAATGCATTGAAGGCTGACAGCCAGTCAGTAGTAGATGACTGGATTGTTCTAGCCCACTTGGTAGCATTCTCTGATATTGCCTTAGTATCACCTTTGGCCCAAATTAACCTTTTATTCTGGGTCACCTCTACCTTTTTGGTGAGCCATCTGTCAGCCATGTTATATGGTTTTAAATCTAAGCGGCCTCGCAATGTCACGCTTACAGGCTGATGATCGCTATTGTTGCTAAGGTGTACTGTGACCTCCGAAAAGAGGTTGACTTTATCTCTAGACACACAAAAGAGATTCAGTACACTGCTTGAATTGGCCAAGTGGTATGTGTAAGGATATGTGTAATTCTTATCCTTACCTCCCAGAATTTGGAGATTACCCTTAAATCAAGGAGACTAGGAGCAGGCCAGAAGCATTACTTTTGCAGTCTCTCGAGAGCCACTGAGGATGGTTATCAAAAAACTCCCCTGAGACTCCTTTCTTCTGGGTGAGCTTATACAAAGAGAGACCCAACCTAGCATTCAAATCTTCTAGTAATACCACTATGGACTGAGGGTACAATACAGATATATCATCTAGGATAACTTCCAAGCCCATCCAGTATTCAGAGTTATAATACCAGGATGTGTTTCAAGGGATATACACATTTACCAGTATTAACTTGAACTCTTCATATCCAAATTTAACAGCTAGGAAGTACTAATATTTGTCTTCATTTTATAGTCTCCCCCTGCCATTGCAACTCTTGTTTTATAAAAATGCATAGCTGACCAGAGGGCCTCCCTTTGTTTTTTGTTTTTTTGGGCTGGGGAGCCCCATCCCTGAAAGCCTGGCAGTTGTACTGATTCATCCACTTCGGTTAACCAAGTTTCTAGAATGGCTATTACATCAAATCTGTGGAGAAAGCTCATTAGTCCACTATCAACGTTCCCTTTCCAGCCAGCTACATTCCAGGTCAGCATCTATATGGGATTCCTGGAAGCAAGGTGGTCTGGCTTGATTGGTTGGCTAGATGGTAAAAATGCTGGATGTCAATTTGACATTGGAGCCAGGTTGATATCAACTACGCTTCCCATATAAACACAGTTATTGTGAAGTTCAATATTTCTCCTCATGGGTTGCATAACTTGTTGTTGCTCCTCTTTATCTTGATTGCCAGTGAGTCTCTGCCCTTGCTCTAAGAATGAAATTTTTTCAGATGGGCAGGTATTCCGGCTTTCTCTCTCCTTGTCTAGTTGGTCAATTTGGACATGTACTACCAAGTCCTGATGGATTTCCCTTTTCTCCTCTTTTTCTTTTGGACTAGTATGCCTTCTCTTTTTATTTATTGGGGCTTGAGTGCTTTCAGAAGCTGGACCTGATAGCAATTACATGGAGGAGCTGCCAGAAGGAAGCAAAGCATTCAAGCTTTCTGTTGCATCAGCTGCTGACATCAACATTTGACCTCAATCTTCTCCAGTATCATCTTTTGGTCTCCTGGGCAGAGGGTAGCAAACTGGTGGACCAGTTCCTCCTCATGATCAATAAACTGAAGCTTTCTCTTGTGTAGGTTTAGAAATTCTTTTTTATTGTCCTTATATTTTCCTAACCTTGTTAGTTGAGGGCTTGTTTGTTTGGCCGTTGGTATTTTGGCATTCCCAAGATTAGTATCAACCTCCTTCACTGTCTTGGCTCTCTGCCCAGACTTTAACAGGGACTGAATTTGGGTGGTGTGAAATACCCATCTTGGCCAAATACAGAGTTTCTTTAGTGAGGTCTCAAGCCTGAGTAACATTGATGGTAGTACAATCTGCCCAAAGTTAGCAATATTCTTTTGCAGCCTTGTCTGTTGGGGAGCCAAGAAATCTCTATTAGCTCATCAGAATATACCCTACAGTGTAAGAGTTGAGATAGAGAGATCAAAACCACTCTCCTGTTGTGCCACCTGCCCCTATTCAGAGGGGTGTTAGTAACCTGGAGTAAAATCCTGTGCCTCTACAAGACCAGCCTCTCCACCGCATCCTCTTCGCTCTGAGACCCCCAGTCCACACAGCCTGGTTAAACATCATGGGTAAGCTTTGGAATATGAGCTTTGCTGTTTACTTCTTCAGCTAGTTTATTAATGTGTTTTCTCATTAGAGACTTTAATTCTTTAATCCCTCCATTTGATTCCAGGACCTGGTCAAATATGGCAGCAACTGTTTGTGCTCTTAGTAGGCAATTCTTAGCAACCAAATCCAAGTCTCCTTTAAAATTGTTCCTAGTATTATTATTCTTGTTCTCCCCTCCAACTCCTACTGGAATTGCAACTCCCTCCTCCACAGATGAGCAGTCGTCCTCTTCCCAATCCAGAAGGGGGCTAGGTTTGTTTGCCATGGTCGCAAGGGGGGAAGAAAAGAGAAAAGGAGACTTACTTGCAGTATCCGTTGTCTGAAAAAAGTCTTTTATCTTAGGTTGTCTCAGTGTTGTCGCAGCCATGGATAGCTGATTTGCTTAGTAGAGGAAACTTTCCTCTCATTCACTAAATGCTTTAGTAGCTGGCGTAAAAAACTGGGGTAAAAGCTGGAGTAAAAGATGAACCTCTCAATTAGTAAAATTGAAACTTTTTAAATCTAAAAGTTAAAAATTGATTTAAAAATCAATTTAAGGGTAAAAAGAGTGTTTTTTTAAAAAATAAAAATAAAATAAAAATAGAGAGTAAAAGGAGAACAAAGTTAAAAGTTAAAAATTGATTTAAAAGTAGAAAGTATTTTTTTTTAAAGGATAAAAATAGAGAATAAAAAACAGAGCAAAGCTCAAAGCTGCTGCTCACTCCCCATTCTCCCATCTCTCAGATGAAGATGAAATGCACCATTTTTGTTTGAAACATCTGATTGGTCCAAACCCACTCATTTAACCATATTTCACAAGGAGGTAAAATTGAAAAGTGGCTAACGTCTGGCAAAACCTACCCAATAATAAAAAGATCCTGCAAAGGGACTACCCCAGGCAACTACAGGCCTATTATCTAATTACCAACAACTTTCAAATTGCTACCTGATTTGGTAGCTGATGCAATGCAATAGCATCTAATTGAAAACAAGCTCTTTCCAGCTGAACAGAAAGGGAGCCATCCAAAGAGTAGAGGAACAGAAGATCACCTCTTAATTGACAAAGTGATTTTGCATTGATTACAAGAAGGCATTCAAATCCCTGCCACATGATTGGATAATCAAGTGCCTAGATATAACAGGAGTCAGTAGAAACATTAGAAACTTTGTGCAAAGATCAATTGCACAATGGAAGACACAGTTGCTGTTGATTGTCAACTGGACAATTCCAGTCATTAGATATTTATTTGGAATATTGGACTGAATTCAAATTGAACTAAAAGTTCTGAATAGAAAGACCTGAAAAAATTATTTTGACAAAGAACATAGGTGGGCAAGTATGCCAGATAACTGAAGAAGAAAAAAGGGCATTGAAAGGTTATTTGAAAGGCAGTGAAGAAGATGCATTGAGGCTAGTACACTTACTGAGTGTCAAAGAAAGCAAGATGGCCAATAAGAAAGACTAAATGAAGAAAAAAGACATGGCAAGGCAAAGGATAGCTAGTATATAAAAAAACTTGCAGGCAAAGCAGATAATAAAATATCTGGTGATGGATAAGAGCAAGAAAGTTGAAAAAAGAGACAGAGAAGCTAATTCTTTAATACTATTACACAACTTCTGTCTATTCCTGGTCCATAAGGAAGTGAATAAAATGCCAAATAGCTGGATATGTGCCTAAAAATGCCAAATCCAGTCCAAACATCTGGCTGACTATGTGACCAATCATCATAATAGATGCTCCTCGACTCGTTCTAATGTCACCTTAGGAAGCTGGCCGCAATGCAGCATTACTAAGCTTTCAAATGCTAGACTTCCTGAGTTCTGCACCACAATCAGTCATCCACTTTCCAGTTTTCTGTTAGGATGGATTTTTTTTCATGTGGAGGAAAGGACAGCACTGCTGAGTAATCTTGACTGTTTGATAAAAAGATTCCTTTTTACAGTGCTCCTCCAACTCCAGTTCACCATTTATTGTTTGACTCATCATTGTTTGGCAGTGTTCACTATTCTTTGGACTTAAATCCAAAGTCAAGGAAAATCCCCAAACCATGCCAGCTGCTTTCTAAAGCCCCTTGAAACAGTTTGTTTTGCACATACTCCAGTTCAGTATGAGAAATGGGTGGGGGTTGGGGGGGGGGAGCTAGTACTGAAATCCATCCTGGAAGGAGCTGGAATCCTTTTCCATAATTACACCATCAGTCAATTATGTCTAGGAGTGGGGAAATGAGCCCAGAAGCTTTCAGAAGCAAAACTCCCCAATATATATACTGCCTGTCCAAACTGTTTGCAATCTTTCCCGAAGTGAGAATTAGAAGGCGGACATGGCAATGGGTCAACCTATCAGTCAAGCAGAATCTTTTAAAAATATCCAGCTGTCATTTGCGGAGGAGAAAAACTTCTAGGTCCAATCTACATTGGAGGAACCTCTTCCATCCCTCCCTTGCTCAAATCTGCTCTGCTTTCCTTGTCCGCTTGTTTGCCTCTCTTCCAATCTACTTACTCACCAATCTCTTCCTCTCCTTCCATTTCTTCTTCTTCTCCTTCTCCCTCCTGCTCTGAGAACCTTTCCCGGTTCTCCACATCCATCACGCCAGACCTCTCTCCTCGCTCGTTCTTTTCTTGTTCCTTGGGTGAGAGAAGCAAAGAGTGCAATAACCTGAGCTCAATTGCCGAGGGTTACGGCTAAAAAGTTCCCAAGAGGCGCAAAAGCTCAAGTTTAGGAGCTCTTGGAGATCCAATGTGTTTGGGGCGATATTGGGAGGGGCGAGACGAAGCGGGTTTGGTCGTGTCACGGAGTTTCGCAAAGAGTCTGCAAACCTCGCTCGCAGCCAGCCGCTGCCGCCTCTTGGAAGACAAGAGAACCGGAGGGGAGTTTCCTCTGGTTGCCATAGAGACCCTCTGAAGTTTAACTGGAAGCAGTGATGTTTTGCTTTGTGTTTTCCCTTCAGGGCACGCGGTAGCCAACAACTTTTCCTGAGTTTCAGCCGGGGTGTCAAACAAAACAAAGCTCTGCTTTCCGCGCAAGGGAGCCGGCTTTGTGGTTAGCAAAGTCTTTTGAGGGAGAAGTCCATTTTTATCCTGCAGCATATCTCACCGATTTATATATGCCGGTAGGTGATAGGTACTGATTGAAGAATCTTCGATGATAGAACGACCTATTTGACTAGAAAAGTGTTAAGAAATGTTTAAAGGAAAGGATGGATAACTGTATATTAGGAATGCTGCAATTTTTTTTCTTCAAGTGGGAGTTTAGATCTTTGAGGTCTACAGTGCTACTTATAATTAAAAAAAAATATTAGAATTACTATTATGATTGTTATATACCTTTCACAAAGTTTGGTATTATATCATATAATCTTCACAATTATTTTGTGATGTAAGTTAGCAGAAATGGGGAAAGTATAATCCAAAATCACCCATGTTTCATGATTATGCATGGATTTGATATAAAATAGATCAAAGGTTCGGACAGAGATAGTGTAAATCAGCACCTTTTATCATAATGGAATAAACACATGAAAAGTATGATTGTTTGGTAATGTTTGGTAAACAATTTTTTTTTTCCTACATGCACCCTATCATGCTGTGATGAACAAAAGCAGAACTCTTTTGTCCTTTCTTCACTTAAGCTATGAAATGGATATCTATATTACATAGGAATCATTACGCTATAGGGATTTTATTGTTATGTTGGATTCAGCAAAGAAGGTTCCTAATAAATTTTCTTTTTAGGTGAGTAGTTATGCCTTGCTTAACTGAACAACAAATACAACGGAGCATGACTTTGTAGTCGTGATTAGCAATGCTTGGGGCATGTTTGTTTTTAGGAAGTTATGCCCATGCATATACTGTATGTGACATATATCTGCAGAAAATGCAAGCTTGCTGAAAGGAAAATAAAAATGCTATTGGTGACCACACTTCAGATGATAATAAAGAATAAGATTTATCATAACCAAGAAAGGAAGCATTAGAAGAATTGTCATAGAGGGGCAACTCTTTTAAAGGAAGAGAATCCACAGACCAAGACCATGAGAGACACGACTAGAACTAGAGGAACTAGCGAAGAAAATAATCAGGAAATAGCTTTCATGTGCTTGCACAGAAACTGCTTTAAATTACCAGGAGAGACTGAGCTGAACAGGAGATTCAAATTTGGAATTCTGGAAGAATTTTGGAAGAGAGACAATGAATAAAGAAGACAATGAAAGGAGCTTTAATAATTGGTGACTTCTTACTATGATGAACAATGTTACTTTACACTGAAACCAAAGATCAAAGAATAATAGAAATATCTACTTGGGTACAGTAAATCAGCAGAATTATTCTTGGTTCATTGTGCATTTCCCTATATTGTGACCACTTAGTCAATGTTATGCAATAGTTTCAAAGTAGTTTGACAGATTGACAGATTAACAGAGTTGGAAGGGATCTTGTAGGTCATCAAGTCCAACCCCTGCCCAAACAGGAGACCCTACACCATTTTTAAAAAAAAACATGTTTTATTTTCAGTTTTCTTTTCACACCATACATATTTTGTGGACAGTGTATTGACTGGGTCAAATCTTTTTTAATAACGCTAACAATAATAATACAAATAAGTATATGTAATCCTAATCTTCCAACTTCAACAATACTATTGTCTCTTTATAATTATCATTTTTCCCATTAATTCATTTAAACATAGATAATATATCTTTGTGCCATGTATTAGTAATAAATTACTAATATTTAATATTTTAAAAATTACCCATTATTTCACCATAACTTCAATATTCCAAATGTGTAGGATTACTAATAAAGTCAACTATTAACGATATTTAATCAATTCCAGGAGTGCATCTCAAAATCCCAACAATTTCTAATCCTTAATATTTTAAATTCACAATATACTTTAACACACTATTAATGTTGCTAATGAAATTAGATTACCTAATCCTAAACTTCCACTACACTTAATTTATTTTTAGTTATAATAAGTTGTATTATCTCTCTCTCTCTCTCTCTCTCTCTCTTTCTCTCTCTCTCTCTCTCTCTATCTATCTATCTATACATACATACTACTATTTTCCCTTTTTGAATTTTTCCATTTTATTAATATATTTTCTCGTTATCCATCATCTCTTAATCTTTTTGAAATTCCGTCATTTATTGACTTTTTAGTCAGCCTTTTATCTCTCTCTCTTGGAAACTTGTAGCTCTTTTTGATATATTTGCACCTACTGAACATTCCCTTCTTGGTGCCCTTTGTCTCTTTCTACTGTATTATTTGAACCCCCATCAACAAGACTTCCTTTTTTTTAAAAAAGAGATTTTTCTTTTTTTCCCTCTAAATCTTTCTCCTTTTTTTGAAGAGATTTTTCTTTTCTCTCTCTGTTCTATTATGAACTTTTAAGGAGTTATCTAATTGATTCCTACTTATTAATCCTTTCTCTAATTTATTTTTAGCTTCTTGCATCTCATTTTGATTTTCCCCTTCCACTGCTTCTTCTAATTTCTCATCTATTTCCTGAATATTGTGTTGCTCTCCCCCCCCCAATTGTCGAGTGACTTCTACATTCATTTCTGTGTCTTTAAACAATCCCCTTGTCTCAGGGGTGAAATGCTCCCAGTTCGGACCGGCTCGGGCGAGTAGGTAGCGATGGCGGCGGGCAGTTCGGAGAACCGGTAGCAAAAACCACAACTCCTTGCCTGCACTCAAGCAGGCAGGGAGTTGTGGACTTCAACTCCCAGAATTCCTCAGCCAGCAAAGCAAAGCTGGCTGAGGAATTCTGGGAGTTGAAGTCTACAAGTTTTTTTTTTATTGAAAAGTTTTACAAAGAAAATTCCCCCCCCCCCAAATACCCCTTCCCCCCTTCCCACCCCACCCCACCCCCAGACTTCCCAGAGCAAAATACAGGGTATTTCAATTAACAATCATAAGCTAAATTAGCCTAACTATTCTTAAACTAACTAATCCCCCCCTGAAACCTTAACTCCACTATGGATAATATAATACTTCTAAAATAAAGTTTAACATTCATTCATAAGCTATTTGATATTTTCTTGTCTGATACTTATTTTGAATATAATCAATCCATCTTCTCCATTCCGATATGTATCATTCTTGTGTATAGTCCTTCAGATATGCTGAAATTTTCGCCATTTCCGCTAAGTTCGCTACTTTCAATGTCCATTCTTCAATAGTAGGCAAAGAGTCCTTCTTTCAATATTGCGCTACCAACAGCCTAGCTGCCGATATTAGGTTCAAAATCAGTTTAGTCTCTAATACTGTACAATCCGTTGTTATACCCAATAAAAACAATTGAGGAGTAAATTTCAACCTTTTTTTCAGAATGTTCTGCATCACCCACCAAATTTTTATCCAAAATGCCTTGATTTTCTTACAAGTCCACCATATATGATAATAAGTTGCATCATCACATTCACATCTCCAACATTTAGCTTGTAAATTCAGATACATACATGATAATATTTAGGATCTAAATACTATCTGTAAAACATTTTATAAAAATTCTCTCTCAAATTTTGTGCTTGCGTAAATTTAACATTTCTAACCCAAATCTTTTCCCATGTTTCTATCATCACAGGTTCCTGAAAGTTTTGTGCCATTTTATCATACAATCCTTAACCAATTCCGTTTCTGAATCTATTTCCAATAAAGCGTTATACAACCTTTTAATATGCATCTGACTTTGATCTCTAATCTGCTTTACCAGGTTTTCCTCATTTTGCATGACACCAATTTTTTTATCTTCCCTCCAATATCAAAAGTGATATTGGCCTAAAGTTTTCAGGTTTGGTACAGTTTTGATCTTCTTTCGGGATCAGTGACACAAAAGCTGTTCTCCAAGAAGGTGGAACTCCTCCCCTGATTGAATTTTACAAAATAATGCTCTAAGCGGTTCTACCATTTCAGACTGTAAATTCTTGTAATAAACAGCTGTTAATCCATCTGTTCCCGGAGCTTTACCTGTTTTTAACTGTTTAATCGCTGCAATAATCTCCTCAGAGGTTATTGGCTGATTCAGCCCTTCCCTCTGTTCTAACGTTAATTCAGGAATATTCTCTTCCTTTAGGTATCTATCTATAGCTATACCTTGTATTGAATCACTAGCATATAACTTTGTATAAAATTCTAAGAAAGCCTTTTTGATCATATTCTGTTGATAAACTTCCTTACCTCTAAATTCTATCTTATCAATAACTCGTGATTTCTGTTTTTATCTCAACACATAGGCCAACCACCTGCCTGGTTTATTAGCATTACAAAATGTATTGTGTTTAGCATATTGTAAACTAGTTGCCACTTGATCAACTATTAACATATTAAATTGCTCTCGTAGTTTATTTATTGTTTCTTTTACTTTCTTATCTCCTGGATTAAGTACGACTAATTGTTCTTTCTTTTTTATTTCCTCCTCTATCTCTTTCCGCTTCTTTTGTTGTTTTGATCTATGTTTATTATTCATATATATTAAAGTTCCCCTCATATAAACCTTACTTGCATCCCAAACCATTTCCATAGAAGTACCCTTATGCATATTATTGGCAAAAAATTCTTTCATTTGTTTTTTAAGCTCATTCATATTTTCTTCATATCTAAATAAATTTTCATTTAGCCTCCAAGACCTCCTTTCTCCCCTCTCCTGTTCCAGTTCCACCCAAACCAGACTATGATCAGTTAGAGTTCTTGGACATATCTTTGTCTTCTTCACCCTAGAAATAAAATCATTTGTAATTAGTATGAAATCAATCCTAGAAAAGGATTGATGTCTATCGGAAAAAAAATGTAAAGTCTCTCTCCTCAACATTGCATT